CTCCCCCCCCCCTCTCATTATTCCACCAACTTTGGTGTAAATTTGAAGCTGTTGTGTTTGTGCAATATTAGTGTTCCTAATTTTAGATGTTTTGTTTGGAAAACTTGTTTATACTGCAGTCATTCTGTTATATTTGCCATTAAATATGCCATTTAAAAACTCCATTTAAGACAGACACGTTTTAAATCAAACTTGGGATTGTCATATTTGAAGAGTTTCAGGTCGTCTTTACAGTCTCATCTTTTGTGGGTAATCTAAGTTTCAATTTTAGGTTCTACATTTTTTCCATTTCAGAGACAGAATTTATTAAAACATTATCTGTGGATTTCACTGTGAGTGTTAACTATAGTACAAAGTCACGTCATATATAAGTAAACAAATACACATGTAGCTGGAAACATTTATGAAAATAAACATTTTATAGCAGGGGACATTTGTAACATTGTGTATCATGGTAAAAATGTTGTAGCATAAGACATTTCTTACATTTTGTGCCAGCAGTCATTTTGCGGAAGAAACGTTTTTTGAGGAAACGTTTTGTGGCAAGCTTTTGGATCAGGAAACATTGTATGAGGCAACATTTTGTAAAGAAACGTTATTTAAGGCCTTCAACTTTATCCTAACATTTGTTTTGCCATAAGTGCCCTATTTTAGCTTTAACTGACCTTGGTTATTCCTATCATTTAAAACCTTTTTTGATCAATAATGTGGAAAATATCGTCGTGTTAACTGCTTAACAACAGTTATATTTCCTCATTGTTTGCAAAGGAAAATTGAACAAGTCACTTTTTTTAAGAAAACACAATTAAAAATTACCATTTCTCATGAGCTCTTCAAAGGAGTGATCGCGGAAATAAAAGAGTTTATAGGCTTATACTGAAAATGAATACCAGTCAATATGTAGCAAATATAGAGTTCCATAGTATATTACGATGTACATTGTCCATATAGCTAAATGTGCCCATTATTAGTAAATATGTACATCATGTCCAATTAAATACGCAGATATATAGCTTCTTCAAACTCAAAAAATAATTCCGTAACTACATTTTATATCTAACCGCGCATAACTTGTAATTACGCTGTTAAGACCCAATTCTAATCTAACATGAAGAAAAAATATTAGTTGCAATAGAGACTCCATACTGTTTACTGCGAGAGAGTAATCGTTCCCTGTTTTGATGAACAGATTGAGGATCGAGTCCTAGTTAAGGCATTGATAGTTTACAAGATCGTTTCATAGCTAAGGCATTGATAGTTTACAAGATCGAGTCCTAGTTGAGGCATTGGTAGCACAAGATCGTTTCATTTCAGGCATTGATAGCTTACAAGATCGTGTCCTAGTTGAGGCATTGATAGCTCAAGATCGTTTCTTAGTTGAGGCATTGATAGCTTACAAGAGTGTGTCCTATAGTTGAAGCATTGATTGCTCAAGATTGCGCCCAGTGGTAGTGTTGCTGATAGATTACACCAAAGTTGTCCTGGTTGAGACATTGATAGTCAAGAGAATGTGAGTTGTACCTGGATAGGTACGTGTTTGAGAAACCGTTATGGAGTAGGGCATTTACTGCACATATACCCCTTTTTATTATTTGTGAATACTCATAATCATTGTATTGTTGTTGATTGAACATTTTACTCTGTAAATGTAGTGTTTCTCTTCTACTACAAGATTTCGACTAATTTTATTTTTCTTGGGAAAATAATAATTAATTGTTGATATAAAACCAAATAAGACAATGAACAACTAACAATATCTTAGTTTGAAAAGACAAAATCTATATATAAATTTGGCTTGTCTGTCTGTCTGTCTGTACAAAATAATAATCTTATAAAAGGTTCCTTTGAAATAGGCACAAAATAAAGAAAATATTTTCAGAATAAGAATTGTTAAATATTTGGTGGATCAGCAAAATAAAAGAATCTATTTACAGCTAGTATATAATAGTCATGGCTCATCTATACAATCGGCTTTTAGGACGCTTCACATCGCCTTATTATACCATTTTAGCCTTAACATGTTGCTGTCGCCATTTTTTCATCGTTCTTCAATAAAAACAAATTTTTATGGATATTTTAATTTCATTAAGCCGTATACCTTCCCTGTTGGTTTGTCGATGTTTATATGTCTGATCCAAGGAGTAAAGAATATTTGTCTAATGTACAATTACCGCGTATACAATAACCTATTCTGAATATTCCATATACAAATGGAGTACCCGTCTGCAAAGCATGTATACTCATATGGTAGGGCGAACCGCGTCAGTTATATCTCCCTTCTATTCTTTACTCCCTGGTCTGATCACTATTGAGGAACCCTGGCATCATTTTTTGATTGGAACACGGTAAAACCATGGGAATGTAATTAGCGTGGTTAATAGAGAAAATAATGTTTAAAGCTGGGTGCATAAACTAGTTTTCTATGAACCATCCGATCTTTTAGTTCCCCCTAAAAATGTCTCTATTTTTGTATCACTTTTTCTTTAAAAAATATTCTATAAGAACCACGGATTTAAATCGGATCATTGGCAAAATTCTGTCAAGCGGTAATATTTTCGCAGGTTTTGTTGAAAATAGCGAACAGTCCTCAAAACAAGTAAATCCCAAGTATTTTAATAAAAAGACAAACACCTGTTACTAACAACTTACAATGTAAACAGTACAAATGCAACACTTTTTCTTTCTTTCAGAAAAATATTGTTAATAAAAGAGAAAAAAGGAATTGAGTCTTTGCCACGAACTCTGAATTTCTGATGTCGGAGACCTTAAATAATTCAAAATATCAATTCTCAATCAATGAATTACATTTTATCTTAAAGTATGTTACATTACACAAGATGACTTTGAGTCTTTACCACAAACTCATGTTCTAATCCCTATGTATATCGTTGCAGCCTAATGGTGTATCTAATATTTTAAACTTAGAATATTTGATATAACAGAGTTCATAGTATATATATAGGGATCTACGGAATTGGGTTGCAAAGATATAGGAATTATAGAAAATAAGGGATTGCGGCAAAGACTCAATTCCTTTACAGTTGCATGGAATCCTAAATATAAGGAAAAAGCCCATGTTAATTGTATACAGTCGCCTCTGAAGTCTCATCCTTAATGTAGGTTACCCTGTGTATATCTATAACTTGTACTAGGTCAAATGGAAAATGATACAGTAATAAACAGCCAATAGTGGAAATATAAGTTTAGAATGTCTTCTTCCATAATTTGTTAAGTTGTTTATTACCAAAGAAAATAATAAGAATATTATATAGGAGTCATATTATAGTAAAATGAACTTCAAAGTAAAATATATTTGAGCAAAACATTTAAACGAAATAAACTGCAAATGCAGCCTTTAATATCTATTACAGTGTATGGAAGACGATATTTAAAACTATTTACCAACTGTCATGTTTCGTGGGACACCCTGTATTTTTTATTCCCATATTGTCTGTTTATTACTGTATCATTTTCCAAATAAAAGATTTGTCCGATGTTGAAAATTTATATTTACCTTTCCATCTCTAAAATGATGTTTGTCGACCCAGAACTGTAGACCTTGTTTCATGGAGAAAAGAAGACGACTTGTTTCAGAATAGTGCGGAGCATACTTACGCACAAGCTTGTAATCAGTTACAACCTTTCCACAGTCAAAGTTAAAAATATGTTGATCATAATAAACAAGTCAAAGTTCATAATAAAAAGATCAAAAGAAATGAATATACTTTTTTTCTGTGCTTTTCATGGAACCTTAATGGCCGGGCAACGACAGTTTTTAAATTGTTGAGTGAATATACCGTTTAGGAAAGAAATAAACATTAATTTATAAAGGTAGCAATGTCTGATTTACATCGGAAGACTTTGAAAGCTTCATCTGATCATAACTGTAAAAGATAACGTCGTTTTTTTACTCAAAAAGTGTTATATTCAGTCACTTTTTTCAGAGAATCCTAGAATGAAAATAAACCGTTTAAATAAACAAAACTAAGGATAACTTATGTATACTTAATGAGCCAGAGCATTCAAGGCTACCATTGTACATAGAGCATTATACCGTCTTTGCATGGAACAGTCCCTTCTTAAATAACGCACAAAATGAACCGATTATAAAAAAATAACAAAAAATTAAAAAGAATGAATGAAGAATGCTCCTGAAAATGTGAGGCAATTTTCGTGAAATTGTAGTATCTCATTATTTTAATTGATTTCAAAACACTTAACGGCCAACATATGGTAAGGATGAATAAATAATGAATAAACATAACAATAAATAACAAAAAGAGCAAAAATAATTTATAATTAAAAAGATATATTATTTTACACAAAATGGTGAAATTTGTTTTCAAAGAAATAAAATTAATTTAAACAGTTTTTATCTCGGTAAATCTTAAGGCTTCTGCTGCTGTCATGTGTTCTTAATTAAAGAAATGAATGTTTGAAACTTTACATCAACAAAATCTAAACATTTTACGATATTAATTAAAGGAATTGAGTTTTTGCCAGAAACTCAGATTTTCTTATCTCTATATCTTTGCAGTCCAGTTTCGTAGACCTTAAATATTTAAATTTGTAACTAACTCTAATGGATCAATAATCGTAGTTTGAAATTTCAAAGAATTACACAATGAGGTTGGTAAAATAATGGGACCGTGAAATTGGAGAATCAATTACTTTTATCATCATAATACGCATAATTAAGGGACTGTGGTTGGTTTTCTAAATGACCTTTCACTTTAATGAAGGGGTAAGCCCAGTTTACAAAACCTTAACCCGTCAATTCATGGCTCGAAAAGCAGTCAAAATTCTAATAAATTCTTCATAGACCTTTCTGTAGTGCTTTCTAAAGAGCTTTCTATTGAGCTTTCTATAGAGCTTTCTATAAAGCTTTCTAAAGAGCTTTCTATAGAGCTTTCTAAAGAGATTTCTATAGAGATTTCTATAGAGCTTTCTATTGAGCTTTTAATAGAGTTTTCTATCAAGCTTTCTATATAGCTTTCTATAGAGCTTTTTATAGAGCTTTCTATAGATCTTTCTATAGAGCTTTCTATAGAGGTTTCTAAAGAGCTTTCTATAGAGATTTCTAAAGATTTTTTTTCTATAGATCTTTCTATAGAGCTTTTTAAAGATCTTTCTATAGATCTTTCTATAGAGCTTTCTATAGATTTTTTTTCTATAGATCTTTCTATAGAGCTTTTTAAAGATCTTTCTATAGATCTTTCTATAGAGCTTTCTATAGATCTTTCTATAGCTTTCTATAGAGCTTTCTATAGAGCTTTCATTAGAGCTTTCTATAGAGCTTTCTTTGAGCTTTCTATTGAGCTTTCTATAGAGCTTTCTATAGAAAGTTGCACTTGACATTACGTTTCGAGTCTCTTTAAAATTTATACAATTTATGGTCATACTATCCAGCCAGATACTCAACTATCAAGCCAGATACTCAACTATCCAGCTAGATACTCAACTATCCAGCCAGATACTCAACTATCCAGCCAGGAACTTAACTACCCAGCCAGATACTTAACTATCCAGCCAGATACCTAACTATCCAGCCAGATACTCAACTATCCAGCCAGATACTCAACTATCCAGCCGGATACTCAACTGCATAACATTTTTGATTATAAGCTTCTGAAAAGACAAACGAAAACAGATATAATTCAAAAAAACATTAATTACCATCAAAATTACTGCTTTGTAACCTTAAAAAGAATTGTTGAACTTGCAGAACTAAAGATTGCATCTTTTATGCTTTATTGCTCATAAACTACAGAAACCAAAGTTTTGAGCTGACTCTTGAGGTTTTCAAATTTAGTTTTACAATTATATATTTGTATAACGTTCATAGAAATGTTTTAGGAATATTTCCCTAGATTTAATACATATCAAATTCAATTACCCCCCACCCTCTCTATCCTCTGTAAACTTTTCATCTTTATCGAAAGTTAAAAAGTAAAGCATTGAGAAAACTTTAAAATTTCTAAAAATTGTTTTTGTGAGGGTTTTAGTCTTTTATTAATTCCCCCTCTCCTTTAGATGATAGGCTCTGATGTCTGAAAATAAAAATTAAATTACTTTCATCAAAAATAATTAAAAAGAAAAATTGTTAAGATTTTCATGTTTTATCATCGTAATCACTTTGAACAAGACAGAAGGAGAAGGACAAATTTATGCAAAATTACTGGTACGTCTGAGTGACGTTGTAGCTCCTCTAGTTTAGATTGATTTCATGTCTTTTAAAACAAATTAATGGGTTATGACATTATGAAATGAATTGAAAATTATGAAATATTAACTATGTACGAATGCGTCGAAATATGTTTGTAATATCTGAATGATGATTTGTATGGAATTAAATTGATATTTTTACAGTTGAATATTGCAACTTTCTGAATTTGTTTGGACGCTACGTTCTTCGGTATGAGTCGTTTTTAACAATTGTTTCCTAATAGACGCAACAGATAGAAGTAAGATTAGAGGAGATCAAATGCGCTTATTTTTCGCCTTTTCATTTTTCGCGAAAAATATGTAAAATTTTGATTTAATATTTTATGAAACAATTAAAAAATTTACGGAAAGTGGAGTAAGAAAAAACAGTTAAAGTTTTATAAGTTTTTAATTAACTTTAAATTTAAAGTTTTTGTTGGCCTTGTTTGTTTATATTTAAGATATTAACCAAAACAATTTGAATTGGGATTCACATCTAAGATTTTTGTAGGGTCTTAAAACTTTGAATATTTAAAACAGGGCCTCAAAACAATGCCAATTTTCTTTTCAAACTATTACTAACGATTAGTTTGAGAATGTCATTAGGTAAAGTAGAACATTATGCAGATTATGAAGTTTAAAAAAGAGACTGAGCTGAAAACTTTAGAATGGTGGATATCATATATCTCATAATTTCATAAATTTCGAGATTAAATATTGCAGTAACTCTGCATGATTTTAAACTTCAGATTAATTATTCGACGGGATATCTGGATATTTCATTCTAAAGTTTTCAGCTCTGATTTTACAAACATCTCACATTGTATATTGAACAATTTAGATCCAGAAAGTCTCCAGGTCCAAAAATTGCAGGCAATCCTTGAATCTCAGGCGCACTACTGGGAGTCTCTGCAATAAAAAGCAAAATGTATTTATTCTTATAGAAACTGAGCTGGGAACTTTTGAATGGTGGATATCGGGATTAATGCTTGATCTCCTCCTTTTCTTAATCTCCAGATTAAATAATGCTTGTTTTCCTCTCGTCATTAATCACCAGATTAATTAACTTATCAGGATTAAGGATATCCCATTCTAAAGTTTTCAGCTCAGCTCTGATGTAATTATTAGTCCTCAAATTTAAAAGTACCCACACTGGATTAAACATTAAAAACTATCAATATCCACACAAAGTTTTCAATCTGTGAATTAATTTTTATCATTAGCTTTAATGGAACATCATTTTCTGATGTTTACTATTTCTCGGTAACTTATCATATTTCAAAACCTAATGGACATAAAAAAAAACATTTGTGACAAGTCTGTCATATGATGTGCCCTATTTTTAAAAATAAAACTGTGTAATATGATATTATTACCAAACTCTAAGCCGATTAACGCAAAATGCATTTTTTATGCAGTAGACTGTAGAACATATTTAAGTTCAGTATATATTCAACCAAAGAGAATAGAATATATATTAGAGGGAAATTTACTAGAAAAAAGTGTAAAACGGCCATTTTGTTGTACTGTTTCCATACTGCAGGTGTACTTCACATATTTATGCTATATAACCTTTTGAGCCCTGGAATATCATTTTATAGAAAATCTAAAATTTATGTTTAAAAAAAGAAAATTATGAAATAGGCTGGTTTCATAATTAACCAATATCGATCATTTCACATAGACTCTATGCCTTTCACTTTACAAACGATGATTTTCCAGAATAACTATAAATCAAATGCATATAATTTGTGAACATTTACATGATTTGTACACTTTGAACTTCCTTTTAGGCTGAAAGGGACTGAAAAAAATCATACCGAGAGATTCACTAAATTCCCCTCTAATATATATTCTATTCTCTATGCATTTAACTGTGTCAAAGTTTGCATTTAATATTACTACAAGAGATAGTGATTGACGGCTCCCATTCCCGTTCCGTCCCAATCACTCTTCTTGGCATTTTCCTTAGCGGTATAAAAAGGTCATTATAACTAGAACTAGGGTCGAATAGAATTCAATTAGACCAAGTCCTTCCTGATAAGGGTTTCCAGTAGAAGCAAACTTTCATGCGTATTCTGCAAACCTTTGCGGTTTTGCACATTTTTGCGCGAAAAATAATTTTGCAAAAGCAAGCAAAAACTATGGGCAATTCCAAGCAAATAATAATCTGCAAAAAAAATCTGCGAGGCGCAATCTATCACCTGCAACAGTTATCTTCTTAGTATCAGAGTGAGATAGGAAGCGGGGACCATCACCATTCACTTCACACTGGTACAGTCCAGTACTTTACAACATTAGTTCATCTTATAATATACCTTCTTAATTCAAGAGGTAAAAAATATCATCCCCCTCCCTCCCCCGCTGTTCTTGACATGGGTTTAAGATTATATTATTTTTTAAGCATTTGAAAAATTAAAATTTAAAAAATTCTTTATATCGAATGTTCATGAAAAGTTTAAAAGGAATGTGATTACATCCTAAAAATGCAGAGGGATTTACATTATTACTTACTAGAGCTTTCATTTAAAAAATCATATTACCTTGAAAATTTAAGAAATTTTTTTAATAGGTGTTTTTGGTGTATTTTTTAAGTTGTTTTTGAAGCATACTGATACAGAGCTGTAAGAATTCCAATTGATGATTTATATATGTTGACTCATTGACTCATTATGGTTGAGCTACCAGCTTAGATTTAGACTTTTAAAAGGTTTTAAAAATTAGGATTGAAATATTTGAAAATTCAAAAAAATCACAAAAAAGAAAAAGAAATTTCAAGATTCAAATCTTGGAAGACACAATTAGAATCCGAGTTTATTCTTGGAAATAAATCTTATTTTGACATCGTTGCTATTTGTAATTTTGCACAAAACTTTTGAAAAGCTGAAATAGATAGTAGTGTTGGGAAAACTTGGATAATTTATGACAGTATTCATTCAATTCTAACCACATAAAACTTTGATGATGATCTTTGCTGTTCTAAAATTAGGAAGATGAATAGATAGATAGACATGTACAGCACACTCACAGGTATATAACCTATGTATTTACTTTTCCTTACAAAAAAACAAACATTTACACTGCTAATTAGCTATTGTTTCGTAATTACTCTTATTAAAAAGTTTCCATCAAATAACTTTTTGTTACTCACTGTCTGGTTCCGTTAAAAAGTCTTTCGACGCTATCTACGTTTGAAATAATTAAGGTTTACACCATCAGGGACCAAGTTAATGCATTTGAATTGCCTACAGCCGAACATTTAATCGTCAGTTCAAATTTGAATTGTTGTTCAGTTGCGTATCTCAAATTCATTCAATTCGGTCTCAGGATTATAGATATAAATATAGATATCGATTTAACTCCTCTCTCCGAATTTAGATGATAGAAACATCATGTTAAAAGTTTGTCCACTGGAAGCGATATTCAAAACAAAATGTTCGCTCTAAGTCGTCCCTGGAGTCTTATCCCTTAAATCTAACCCTATATTGTCTGCATTGGTTCAATGTGCAACTACAACTTTCTGAAAATGTCAGAACTATATAATTAGATAATTTAGATGCAAGGTTCTGCCGTTTCTTACATACTATTTAGGAAACTTAGAAATTACAAGGAACTATGTTCCAGCCAAGGGTTCTCATTAATCAAAGAATTATATTTATTTTTTTTATCAAAAATCAGCTTTTTTTCAAATATTCTTTTCGATAACAGTAAAATTTTAGTTCTAAATTTTATAGTACTTTGTAGTGTGTACTTGAAAAGGTTGTTCGTTAAGGTTTGATTTTCTGGATGTGCTCCAATGTCGTCTTCATGGCAATGGACACGCAAAATATTAAGACAACTATATGTTACCTGAGAAAAGATGAATTTCCAAATACAATTGTTGACTGGGATTCCGGCAGTACATTGGTGCTCTAAAATATAAACATCTAAAAAATTAACAAAAACAAAAAATCAATTCTTAAATGCACTTGCAAAAACTGGATATCTTATATATAGGAACTGCATACATAATTTGAAGTGTCCACAATTTAAAAAAACGGCATGTCAGATTTACAACAGTACACAGTAAAACTAGAATGTGGAAGATATGGTCATTTTCATTTGCTTGAGAGGTGTAAAATACCGTGAATTTTATCATTTTTTATAGCAGAAATCCCTGCTAAATGAATCCAAAAAATATTTGTATATAGATAATCAACTTACGGTAAACAAAAAGGAAAAAAGTTTAAAAAGTAATGTTTGGAATCGGACACTTATATAAGTGAAATGTTGCTTAGAACATCTAAATCTACGACATTAAGCACCGCTTTTTTACCAATTTCATATGCAGTGTTACCAAAGATAAGGCTTATGGCTTAATAATGGCTGAAGTTTAATTTCAAATAAGAGAAGAAAACTGAAAAAACACGTATCTAAATTCTCATCTTTTGATGGTAACCATGACAACCGTACTGTGCATAGTTTACACTTTCAAACTTTGGTCTGCGCATTTTTCCTACCTCTATGTATTTTCCATACCTCTATGTATTTTCCTACCTTTCTGTATTTTCCTACCTCTATGTATTTTCCTACCTCTATGTATTTTCCTATCTCTATGTATTTTCCTACCTCTATGTATTTTCCTACCTCTATGTAAACTCCAGGAACAGAGGTGGCCACAGTACTTACTCCTGAACATTCATAAACATTAGTTTTGTAGTTTTTATCCTTCTCAGTTAGTAAAACTAATTTTATCTTCCTTAAGGGACATGTTTATCTTCCTTAAGGGACATGTAAGTGTAATTATAAGTTACTCTCCATGGAGAGATGTTAATGCCCGATTTACAATGGTGTACCCTTGTAACCTTAATCTGATCAAAAATGAAGGAGATACCGTCGTTTATCTGAGTAGAAAAAGTGTGTTTTTTTTTCTCTCCATTGCTTCTTATATAAACAAGAAATGCGCAATGCGCATGTTTACTTACGCAGAGAACCCGCAATTGAAAATCAACAGTTTATTGAAACAAAAATATTGATGTTTAATATACATACTTTATCAGACAAAGCTGTTAAAGGTACCTTTGTAAATCTTAGATTACTATCGCTGCCTTGAGGATCACTTAAAATAACACTTACAGTCCCTTTGTGAGTTCATCACTTGTTATATATTTTTAAAATAGTTTGTATAAGCCACCAAAATATGTCTGTCCCTGATTTTTTTAGTTTATTATGAAGAAAATGAAAGAATTTAACCTGAAGAATTTCTTTTGGTGTTTTTGTTATTTCAATCGTTTTTCAATGAATTTTCAAACAATTACATCTATGCGTAGCTCAATTAATATGAAAGTTTTTAAGTTAGAGAAAAAACACAGGGGGATGAAACCCCCNTATAACAATGTTAAGCCATCAAAATGAACTGCTGTATTGTTTATTTCATTAATACGGTTTATTGGACATATTGGAGTGGTAAAAAAAACTAAATTTTACTCCTTTATCACAAAGAACATCTTGGAGTTGTACAAAAACTAAATTGTACTCCTTTATCACAAAGAACATCTTGGAGTTGTACAAACACTAAATTGTACTCCTTTATCACAAAGTGGTGAATTTTAATCTTCTCTTATCAATTATATACTCCTACTTTGCTTGTATGTCAGTCTGTCTGTTCGTTTGTATCCAATAAGCGCCGAAAAGATCAAGTTTAACATTTTTGAGGCAAAAATATGTCTCCAAATATTTCGATTTTTTAAAATTTGAAAATCCACGAAAAAATATTATTAAATCCGCGATTTTTTCTATTGTACAAAGAAAAGTTGCTCACAGATTGAGCCACAATTATAATTTTAAATAGAAGATAGGCGCGAAGCACCCTGGAAGCCTATAAATATATATAATAATCTTCTTATAGAGTGAAGATTTACCTGCCTTGGTCTGACTTATTCTAAACTTGTGAAAAATAGGTGCTTTTTACTTTCAAAGATAATTCTCATATTTTACTGAGAGTTCAGGAGAGGTGTGTTCATCAACATGATTTGTCTCAAAACTCTGTTTATTTTGTCTTTTCAGAAAAGAAAAGCTTTCAAATTTTGTAAATATATGTTTACAGATTCTTAAAAGTAACGTAGTAAATCGTGTACGTTTGAAGGCATGTAAAACTCGACGTTGGGGCCTTAATATAAGTCTATTTTATAGTAAATTGGGCAGGCTGGGAATTCTTGTATTGTGGATATCGAAATCAATGCTTGATCATGACCTTTTGTTAATCTGCAGATTAATTCATTCTTTTATTTGATATCCCTCAATGTTATACCCTGAAGGGATAACCAGAAATGAAGAGATTAAGCATCTTCAAATTAAAGTGCCCACGGTGGATATATCGAGATCAAGTTTTTGGATATTTTAGGATTGGGCCATTATACATTTATGACATCCAACCGTAAATATTTGTGTATGTATAGAAAAGAATCTAACACAAAAATGAATTTTGAACCATTAACTCTATCTAGAACTAAATTCCCCTGATGTTTACTACAGCTCTTTCAGTTCTTACTGTGGTTTCTCTGTCCCTGGAGAAATTTATTTGCTCCGTCAATCGTAAACCATAATGGGGTTGTACAACGTTAGGACAGTCAAACAGAAAATATATTTTTGCTTTTATTTTGAACAGTAGGATCATCCGCGAAAGTAGTAATATAAATATAAACCTCGAGTTTTAACAAATGTATTCTTATTTTTTAGTTTTTATAATCATCATGTGACAATTTACAATTTTTAAAGCTTTTTTTGGCGTCTTGAAAATCATATCATGTCAAACAGATTATCAAGTTATACTTGCTAATATATTTTGTTATAATTGCAATGTTAAAATTTAATTTAAACGAATTTTTTAAATATTTAAAACATTTGGACATCTCAAAAATAAAATGCTTTGGAGTTTTATAGGAAAATAAAAGAAAGACAGCATGAGCAAACAAAACTTTTAGAATTCAGTTTCTTCGTAATAAACGATAATTCACTTTAGAGAATAAGAAAATTCTGCGGTTTAAATTCTAGACAAGCAAAGAATTGTCTTGAAGTAAAAGAAGAAATATTACTTTTACCAACTTAGAATTGTTTAAAATATAAAAGAGAAATGAGCCTGGAAGAGTTATATTTAAATTCATTAATCATACAATAGGAAATGTACTTTATAAAGCCCACACCTATTCAGTTAATATATTTTTTCAAATTATTATAATATTACATTATACTAGCTTGATAACCCAGCGCTGCCCGGGTTGCTAAAAGTTACTCTTGCCGTTTACCCGCTCTTGAACGATTTTACTGGGAATCTAAATTTTCGCTACTAAAGTCGAATTTTTCAATTTAGTATCACAAAACCAAGTTGAGAACATTCCTGTGGGTCTTTCGAGTTCCACAATCAAAATTTGAGGCAAATCGGTCCAGAAGTTCATGAAAGGACAAACAGAGAGACAGACAAAAAGAGATTATAACTTTATATTTATAGATTATATAATATATAAGCAAAGGGAAAGACAAGAAGAGGGAAGGAAAGGGAAGGAAAGGGAAGGAAAGGGAAGGAAATGAAAGGGAAAGAAAAAGAAGAAGCGGAAAGGGAAGGAAAGAGAAAAGAAGAAAAGAGAAGGAAAGGGAAGATAAGGAAAGAAAAAAGAAATAAAGAGAAGAAACGGAACGGGAAGGAAAGAGAAAGAAAGGAATTAGAGAAGGAAAGGGAAAGGAAGGAAAGGGAGGGAAAGAGAAAGGAAGGAAAGCGAAGGAAAGGGAAAGTGAAGGAAAGAGAATGGAAGTATAGGAAAGGGAATTAAAGGGAGGAAAGAATATTTTATCTAGCAAACGTTATATGTTACATGTTTCATGTCTAACAGCAATAAACAGGAAATAACGCTGTAAATAGTGTACATACTACATATATCTATTATAAACATATTTTAATAATGTTGTTTAGTGTATTCACTCTTGTATGCCGAGTCCATTAGCGCCTGATCCAATCAGGGTGCAGTCATGTGTTTGTTGTCTATTCTAAACCAATAGAAATAGTATGGCGGTAACATCTATCTTTCTATCTATCTCATTATCCAATAAGAGATAAATCCTTATTGCGAAAATATTTACTTCTACTGAAACTATAGTGTATACTATAGCTATGCAAGAAAACCTACGTATCACCACGATTAACATATCAAACACGGTGTAATTACAGTTTTTAATTACTGCTCAGATGTACTTAACGTCATATTTAGCAGAGTTTGGCAGTGTGATAAATACTCGGAATTTATAATCAAGTGAATAAAATAACAATTCGTAGGAAGATTGTGATTAAACCAAAATTCTAAAAAAAACATTCTGACCGCACATCGCCGATAACTATTTTTTAAATCGAAATAAAGAAATTACATCTTGTCAATAAACTCAAATTTTCTTGTCTCTAGATCTTTGCAACCTGATGATGTAAACCTTTTTATATTTTTAACTTAAACTAGTTGTGCTAACAGAATGCATTGTTTGAAATATTTTAATTCTAGGACATTAGGGTGCAAAGATTTAGGGATCAGAAAATCAGAGCTTGTGGCAAAGACTCAATTCCTATTTGACATACCAGCTGGAATGCCCGGTGTAGCCCAGATTTATATTACTATATGGTCCTTTCACTGTCATCTAAAGGTTGCAAGCTATCACAAAAATACATCAGAATTTTTCCAATTACCTTTTTAAATTAAAGCCAGAAAAACTTGAAATAAGAAGGTCATGTCAAGGGCTACAAAAAAGTATGAGAGGTTAAATTAAAGACAATGAGGTTAAAGTCGGCCCAGTCTTACAAACTGATGAAACTTTTAATATCAGTCCATGGATCTATTTGAATAACTCCTGCGTTTAGCCGCTCTTGGTTTTAAACAGAAGATATACGTCAAAGTGCTCATCCTTGCCCATGGAATTTCAAACATTAAAATTAAATAAAGACTTTAATGTTTCCCCTGAGATACCGATGGGTTCTCTCATAAAAATTTACAATGAAAAATAAATAATGAGCCAGTTTTGTCTAGTCGTTTGACAGCTATATTTGTATATATGTAGTAAATGCCCTTCTCAAATAAATACAGGTATAATTCAATCCCTCTCATTAATCCACAAGGCATAAAAACTATTTTGTTCAATACTTAATCCCTCTTGTTAATCATCCACGAGGCATAAGAACTATTCCGTTTAATCATACTTTATTTATAGTCAATATCAAACCGGAAATGATTCTATCAGTATTCTTATGTATCAATTTTACAAGAAACACTTAAACCCTCTCCTTGAAAAACAAGGCTTATAATTACTCTGACACAATAATCAAACGGAGTATTATTCCAACTGACGTTTATTTTGAGTTCTATGACACAGTTTAAGTTAATGAACGTAATTGCAAGTTTAACATCGTTATCTAAAATCGTTATTACATTAATCTCAATACGTACAGACAATGTACAACGTAATTTATCGAGGTGTAAATAAATATGGGATTTGCTAGGGTATTTATTTCAAATATATGTACCACATAGATTCAGCCTCCTTATAAACAGTCTCATCAATTTTTAAGACAGGGCTGACTTTGAAGTGTCGCAACGCCCTAAGCTTAAATTTTACCTCTCTAACTCACTTATGCTTTTCTGTAGCCCTTTACATGTACATTTTAGCACTGTAAAGCACTTGTTGTTAGATGTGGGTTTTTTAGGAGTTATTGGCAAAATTCTCAACGATTTTTTCTTGAGAGCGTGAGACCATTAAATCGCAGTGGTACATATATTTATATATTTACCTGTATCAGAAAGCGTTGCAATATAACTAAATATTTCTTCAGTGTCGCGGAACCACTTTATACTGAAATAATAATAATAATAATAATAATAATAATGAACGGCATGGTTAAGAGTGAAACTTGAAATATAAAGTTCCCCAAATTGAGGTTTATAAAAAGTGGATGAAAAGTGTTGATGAAAAGTGTTAAAGAATAAAATCTTACTGTTACAGCTTTTTCTAAGGTATTGGCTAAATTTGAAAATATTTGTGCATGTTTGCAAAAGCAGTAATCTTTGTTTTTTCTTATCATAATTAAAAACACATGAAACTCATGACCAATTTTTCTTTGATTTTAATTGGGGGAACTCAACAGTCCAAGAAATTCTTTTTGTTCAGTTTAGAAATAATAAGACAAGTTAAACAATTTAAGGAACTGTAATGTAAGCGTAATTTCAAGTGACCATCCATGCAAAAATAATTAGAACCGAAGCACAATGGTACCCTTACAAAGCTTTGTCTGAATTAGTTATTATTAATTTTTAATGGGGTTTCTCTCCAAAAGTGACTTGCGCATTTCTTCGGCAGGAAAACTCATTTAAATTGTCATATTTTAACACTTTTCAAAAAACGACTGCATCTTCCACAGTAATGGTTTAAGGGTATATTTGAAAATTGGGCAGTTTCATCTTTGTATGGAGGGTTCTCTTGAAATAAAGCTTACAGTCCCTTCAAAGTATTACATATTTAAAAACATGAATGTTTCAAGCTGGTGTTGAACAAATAGATAAATAAAATTGTTTTCCGTTTTGTTGTCGCTCCTTGTTATCTAAATTGAATTGTATTTATTATATTTTCTAAAGAAGAAGAAAATATTTTATATTTTGTGAACAACAGTTTCATTGGTTGGTTCGGAGCCGTCTTTAACTTTAACAGCAAACATAAAATGTTATCAATGCTAAAGTTCTAATATAAGGGTCTATGGATGATACACTTTTCTTCTAAAAACGACACACTTCTCATGCACCTCATTTGACATATACACTACTTATCATTTGACATATACACTACTTAACATATAGTGCATATACCCTTGATATTTCATATTTGACATATACAATACTTAATATGAAGTATACATATACCCTTTTAAAATAATTTAAAATTCTACAAAATGAACAAAAACTGAATATTTTTTTCTAATCAAACTATTAATCAGACTGGCCCTCAGAATCAAGAATGCAAGGCAAGGAAAGTTAATTAAATTTTGATAATTTTGATAATTCACAAAATAGTTTCCTATGACCAGAATATTTCATTGATTATTTATGTGAAAGATGGATCCCATGCCAGGCTTTGACATCCGTCTTGTGTTTACATTACCGCCCAGAGACAGTACACTGCAGTACAAAAGATGTGTACACTTCTAAAATAACTTTCCTTGCATTACATCCTTGCTAAGAATTAGCTTTGATTAAAAATGACTGATTTATTTTTTTTTATAATATTTGTACTTTCAACTTTCAAGTAAGCAATCCCTTCATTGCCCTTCATTGTGGTCTGCTGTGGTAAGATTTAAATTCTAATGTAATATAACACATAAAACTGTTTAATTCTTGCTTTACATTCTACATGAATCTGCAATAAACATAAAATTTAATATTTTACATTTTGCTCAATTGTAACCCAACATGTATCGTCTGATAATGGTGAGCCAAAGGTTGCAAGCTCTAACGCAAAAATCTGAGAATTTTTCCAATTACGTCACAAAAACTACAAATGGCAACATAGTGATCTATAAAGATTGGGTACAAAACGTCGATTATTAAAAAATCAATAATACGTTGAATAACAAAACGTCGATGATACAAAAAAAATCGACTGCTACAAAGCAACAAATAACCAAACGTCGTATACTGCAAAACGTCGAATAATACTACAAAACTTTGACAAATACAAAATATTGACAGTTAGAAAATGTTACATTACCTTGGGTTAAGTTAGGTAAAGACTATTTCTGGGCCGAGCGCTGCGGCTATAATGGGATAGAAGGCCGTGCGCCGCGGTTTTTTGAATGTTAAATAATGTCTCTCACCTTATTTTGGTATTAGGTTAGAGTAAGACAATTTCTGGACTGAGCGCCGCGGCTAGAATGGGCTATTTGTTATTCGATATTAGACTTATTGTAACAGTCGATGTTTTTCAAGTTTCACTAGCTTAGTCGTTCATGCAGTTCATTATTATTGTTATTATTATCATCATCATCATCATTAGTATTAGTATTATTGAATTATTATAATCATTATTGTTATTTTTATTATTGTTATTATTATTGTTATTATAATTATTATTCTTATTCTTATTATTATTATTATCATTATAATCATCATTATACCTGTACAAAGATTCTCCCTCTAGATCGAAATAACAGTTCATCGTGTATCCTTGGCCTACTTTTACATATGGGGGAGTATCAAGCTGTAGTACTTCTAGACTTTGGAGTACTAAATATAGATATTGATATATAGAGTATTTTAAATAGGAATATCATGCTGGAGTACTTCTATTAGAATTGGGTCTTTAACAGCGCAATTACAAGCTGTGCACTGTTATATATAACGTAGTTAAACAATCACTATATGGGTATGATGGAGTTATATATATATCTAGGTACATTGAATGGGTTAATCGCAATACATGATTTACATATTTACTAATGGTGTGCCCAATGATATATGAACAATGTTTGAATATTATCAAGCTGGATAAATATAAAAATAAAGATATAAAAATTGGTATAGTATGATATAATATTGTCTCGTCTTCCTAGCTTGTACAGGGTTTAATTATGTCAATTTCTGTCGTTGATTAAGGAGATAAAATGCGCAAGTTACAATTGAAAATAATCTATTTTTAAACATGAATATAGCATTTTTCTTGATTATTCAAAGCTTTTAGGGAACCATTGTGAACCGGGCATGACAATTTATTAATGAAGAATCACTGACAGTTACTTCATCAAGGCCCTTAAAGTACAATTTTTAAACATTTAAATATAGAGTAAAAAATTTCCATAATATAAATGAAATGCACTATATCCATTAAACTATTGTCAATAGTGTATTTAAAATTAAATGCATTTATTTACTTCAATGCTGTAGAAATGTATTTTTAACCCTGTTTAGCGTGGTAAAAGCTGAAAAGCCTACATCCATCTATATTGAAGCTAATAAAAATTCTTAAAGATTATAATAATAATTTAAGTGTATTATAAACACGTATATATGTAGCAAATATCATGTAAACATGATATTCTGTAAACTTGCAGTACGTTGTATATTATCAACAATTTAGGTTGTAAACTTATATGTAATGGCATTATTAATTGAAACTGTGCTTCAATTGAATATGTAGCATGACTAGCTTAATTCATGTAATATACTTAAATTACCCTGTAAACATGTGTGGAGATAGCTTAACTACATTATATCTATCCTTGCTAATCTTATAAATATGTTCATTAAAACTTAACTGTACGGTAAATATGTAACATGATTGTCTTAATCATGTGATATAGATAACAAAGTAGGAATCATAATTACGTCAATTTACATTAACTTGTAACATAAGATATTGAAAAAAAGTTTATAGAGTAGCTCCATACTGTTCACTGTGAGAAAGTAATCCTGAAATCCTGTTTTTAACAAAACAGGCCGGATTATCCTCATTATTTGGGATCAACATATAGCAGAGTCTAAAACTAAAGAACGAAAAGTTTTGACTTAAATTTTAAGTTCATGGTTAAATGCCACTTCTGACTTAATTTAAACCTGAACTTTAACCGTGAGGTTAAATATTTAACCCTGTGGTTAAATATTTAACTCGCCGAAATCGACGAGTTAAAATTTAAACACAGGGTTAAAATCTTAAAATCCTGCATTTTCCCTATTTGTCTATTATTCAATCATCATCCAGCTGAGAAAGTGGCATTCAACTTAACGTTATATTTAAAAGTGAAAACCTTGTTAAAGAAATTTCACGTTTTGGATTAATTAATTTTTGCATGTAAAACCAAAATACGGTTGTAACTCGAAATATGTTTTGTTTTCGGTTACGTAATCAGCTGATTAGGGATGGTTATGTAATATTCTCCGTAAATCCTTTTCTCTGATTGGTTCAGATTTTCCCGGGAAATTCAAATTTAAAATTGAGAAAGTTTAATATTTAAGTAGCTACTCATTATTTTACAGAACTTTTAACCTCGAACTTAAAATTCGCGCATTCTTTAGTTTTAGACTCTGGTTTGATAGCTAAGCTTGTGTCCCATTGGGGCATTTAGAGTGGATCATCCCCATCATTTAGGATCGATATATAGCTTGTTTGATAGCCAGGCTTGTGTCCCTGTTTGGCATTTAGAGCAGATCATCCCCATCATTTGGGACTGTTATATATTTTGTTTTATAGCAAGGCTTGTGTCCCTGTGTGGCATTTAGAGCGGATCATCCCCATCATTTGAGATCTTTATATAGTTTGTTTGATAGCAAGGCTTGTTTTCCTTTTTTGGCATTGAGAGCGTTGGATCGTCCCCGTCATTTGGGATCGACATATAGCTTGTGTCCCTGTGTGGCATTTAGAGCACTCAATTCAAAGGTTGCTAGATAGCCACGCTTGTGTCCCTGTGTGGCATTTAGAGCTCGGTTTGATAGCTACAGAGACCGCACTCAGTGGTAGCTGCGTTGATAGTTCGTGAGACTTCAAACATGTGGATTGTGTCTTGGTTGACTTTGATAGCGGAGTGATTGAACCTGGAAAGATATGTTTCGAGAACTCGTTATGGAGTAGGTGTTCGCTACATATATTCTCCTTTATTATTAACAGATTCTATAATATCTGCCTATCAATATTAATTACTATATAACTGGATTTTGCGATAAAAAATTCAATTTTTGCAAATTTGCAAATTTTTTTGCAGATTCTAAAAGTAGAGCACAAGAGCTTTCCAATGATGTATCATTTGTCATATTTGAACATCAAACATGGGATTTAGAGGGGGGGGGTCAAATTGACCCCCCCCAGCGTATCCTGGTTTTCAAGTACCCCAGCAGGGATAGGGTTAACATTGTGTTGGAACCATAAACAACTACGACACTTTCTTCACTATTAATACAATAAATTGAAAATTGGAAAAACAATATTTTATCAATGTCTTCGAAAACTTAAATTTAAGTTAAACTCCCACAAAGCCTGAACTTTGCTTGTCTGTCTGTAATATGCTTGGGTGTATGAAAAAAACGTCAAAACGGATACACCAATAGGACCAATACCACAGGAAAGCTATATGGACAGTTAAAAAATGGGGATCAAAGCACCCCGAAAGCCTGGCTTTCAATAAAGATATAAGTTTTCAAAGTATTTAAAATTTTTAAAATTGTTTTCAAATCAAATTCAAAAACAATGAAAATAAGGAAGAAAATGGACAATATTAAAATTGAAAATTGAACAGCAAATTCATGAAAATCTAGAACCGGAGGCCCAAACTAAAAATCTTGTTTTCTCCTAATTTCAAGCTTCAAAGTGAATACTAATGAGAATTCGGGAAAAGTTTTCTGATCAATTATTGGATAATCAAGTATTGCATAGGAATGAAATAAGTTTCCTAAATTTGTTGATTGTTAATCAAATGGATTTGTAACCGTAATTTCATGTGTCCTCATTACAAAGATGCCAATACTCAATGCACAACAGTACCCTTATAAGCTTTGTCTGATCGTCATGTATGAATTAGATATTGTTGTTTATGATTTGGAAAACTGATTGGTTTTTATTGTAGTTTCTCTACAAAAGTGTCTTTTGCATTTCACATTTATGATGCGGGAAAACATTTAGGAATTATGTTGCAATCTTTGCATGGAGGGTCACTTGAAATTACGCTTAGACTTAATTACAGCCCTTTCAGAAGAGAAATATAAGTGAGGGGGGGATATTTTTCAAGATTAGAGTGGGGCTATAGGTTAGGGGGGGGGGAATAATTCGACTACGCCCCCCCCCCTCCCTATGAGTTAAGAAACGGGGGTGGCGTCCCCAATTTTTAACGGTTACCCATTTTGAAATTGTCAAACAAGGAAGTAGCAAAAATTGTGCTAAAGGGACTGCAGACGTAATTTCAAGTGACCCTCCATTTATGAAGTTAAATGTTCAATTCACACCAGTACCATTAACATGTTTGTACAAATGAGATATAACTGATTTCTCTTTTAACATGTTTTATTTTTTACGTGTGGAAAATGTACGATACTATCTACATTTATCGACCAGAAAAGGCTTTATACGGTATCTTTGTGAATTAGACATATTGAGAGTCACTTAAAATTACGCGGATATTTTCTTTAACAAACGGAAAAACTTCTAAGGTAAAAAATAACATACGGAAAAATCTTTCATTTGAAATTAACAAAAATATAAAAGTTGGTTTATTTTACAAATTTTATCTTTTAACAATTGTGTACTTACAATTGATGGCAGTTAGATGTTGAATAAAGGAGAGAACTTTCATCTTCTTCGACTTAAACTGATTTGGAAGATCTTTATTTATATAGGCAGATTTCAACTCGACATTTTTATGTCTGATATTTAATGCTCGAGTTTTTCTCAAGTTTTTGGTCGTTTTGTTTGTAAAATCTGAAATAATAAATCATATATGAGTACATCAAAAAGAAAAATTAGGATTTAAGTGGAAAAAAATTGTCTTCATCATGACTTTTGATATTTTAAAATAACTACGTTCCTGTAAATGAGTGTAATGCGAACAGAATTGACTGCAAATTTTGGTCTGAAAAAAAAATTTCACAGTTAAATATATTTTTTTGCAAAATGTTCTTGGAGAATTAAATTTTCAAAACAAGGTGGATGTATCAGTATTTTAAAATCTGAAAACTTTTTTAGCACAATTGATATTGAATATAGACTTATTATCTGCCGACCTATCTTACTACCTAGCAACCTGTAACCACCTTACTACCTACTTATCTTTCAATTCTTATCTATCCAAATAAAACCACCTACCTGTACCTATCTTATAACCTCTAGTTACCATTTACCTTCCAACCTGCCAACAGAATGTTTAAATACCTGCCTACTTTCCTCTCTTACTTGTTAAAGTACTTTTACTTGCATACTCAGTACTCTCTTATCTCCCAATATCTACCAACCTACCTTCTTAACTAAAACCTATCTTCATACCTACCTTTTACCTAAACCTATCTACCTACCTTACCTACCTTTATTACAATCCTACTTAACTAGAATTTACAATATTACAATACCTATCTGACAATATAATAGTTAATTAATACTTATCTATCTATCCTATTTACCTAATCACATTCTACCTTTTAAGCTTTCTGACAATCCTACTTTATAAGTAATACATATATACCTATATACCTGTATCTTACAATCCTACTTAACAAATACATATCTACCTATCTGCCTATACTTACAATTCTACTTACCTATCAATCTATTTTACAATCGTATAAATACCTAATTTATGACTAAAAATTTTAGAATTTAGGTTCCAAATATTTTTAACTTTTAATCTAATCAAAGTATTATAAAAAATCTTTTTTTATGAAACCCTGCCATATATGTATGTATATAAATGAAGATTAGTCTATGTGTTCAAACAAATAGATAACAATTGTAGAAAATAGAAAATATTAATTTATTTGGAATAAATGAATTGTGTTCTTTGTTAGGAGAGGGACGATAAAAAGATAAATTATCTTTTTTATTATTGTGCACTAGTTAAGTACTGTACTGTGATGTACTGAACTGCACTGTACTGTACTGTACTGCACTGTACTGTACTGTACTGTACTGTACTGTACTGTACTGTACTGTACTGTACAAAAATATATATTTTCTTCTTAATCTATTTTATAATTCCCCCTCAAAAAGTAAAAAAGATAATCTCCTCTTTGTACTCTGTGTTTCCTTTATTATAATTTCCTTGTATAATTTCTAGAATGTACAACAGCTAATGTTGTGTAAGATTACAGTAATTTCTTGCTTTGTTCAACATTAGGAGCACACTGTATTCTTTTACTGTATTTAGTAATCTGAAATACTTTTACAAATAATTAAATCCTATTTCAGGTATGGATGCTGGTTATTAAATCAGTGAGCCTTAACTTTGGAACCCATTTTCAACCATAAAATGAAGATTTTTTTTGCATTTGCTGTCTTACACCATTCGGTTGGACTACAATAACAAGCAGAAAACTGTACTGTACTGTACTGTACTGTACTGTACTGTACTGTACTGCACTGTACTGTACTATTCGGTTGGACTACAATAATAAGCAGAAAACTGTACTGTACTGTACTGTACTGTACTGTACTGTACTGTACTGTACTATTCGGTTGGACTACAATAATAAGCAGAAAACTGTAGAATAGAAAGACGACATTAAAGTAGTAGTTAAGCGGCGTATTGGATGTTGTTAACAAAGCAAATTATAGTTTTAATAATAATATATTAAATCAATTATTCAGTGATGTGACTTATGTTCATTGGACTATTCAAAGTCATAACTTGAGTCTAAAATTCTCGCCTTTCTTATCTAAAACCAATCCTATTCCAGCTTATCTCCCCGATACCAAACTTATATTCCAGCAAACCTCTCAGGAACCACCCCTATTCCATGGCAAACCTTTCAGGAACCAATTCTTTTCCAGGTAAACCACTTAGGAACCAATCCTATTCCAGCTAAACAACTCAGGAACCATACCTATTCCATCTGAGCCTCTTTGGAACCAATTCTATTCCAGTCCACCTAACCTCACAGGAACCACCCCTATTCCAGCAAACTGTTCAGTAACCAATTCTATTCCAGGTAAACCACTAAGTAACCAATTCTATTCCAGGTAAACCACTCAGGAACCAACCCTATTCCAGCAAACCTCTTATGAACCAACCCTATTATAGAAAACCTCTGAATAACCTCTTTAAACTTAAAAACTTCAAATATTAAAAGGGATTTTTGTTTAATAAAAAAATTCGCTGGAAAATTCTTTAGAATATTTAAAAATTGTTTATAAAGAATTACGCGTATAGGAGCTGTAAAGCATAAACTATGCAAAAAATAAAAATGAATAAAATTTGTTCATGAGAATCAGTAATAAAGGTACTGTAGACGTAAATATTCAAGTTGATTCTTGATTTATGAAGTCCGCCCAATTCACAACGATACCCTTTAAAACTTTGTCTGAACGTTGAGTTAAAAATAGAGTAAGGATGTTGTATTTGACCAGACTTTAATTTTTAGTGGGAAAAATTATAATATTTTTCCTGTTGCTTTTATTTTTCAAAACTAGCGAGCCTCTGTTTTTAGATTAAAACTATTCGTTTTGATCTTTTGAACAACGAAACAACGATATTGAAAAAAATAAAATTTTTTGTAAATTTGAACTTTAACAAATACAAATTTTTGATATTTTATTTTACCTTTTGATATTATTTTTTATAAAGGTATCTATGTATGAGTTCTAAACTCTAAATTTATTTTTCTTAATGAAAAAAATGTGAGCCAATTGAATAACCTGAAAAAGTTTAACAGGATTTGTTGAAAATAAAGATTTAAATCACGCAGGTCCAAAAAAGTCCAGTTCTAATCCTTTTTTTGAGATTCTCTCTATCCTAAAAATGTTCTTCATTTTAGTTTTTTTCTATCCATTAACTTTTAGATAGGCGCAGCATTGAGGTGGTATTCCTGACAGCACTGTGGAGCAAGAAATAAGACTGATTTATATCTTGGAATAAAATATATATCTTCAGAGTATAATTAAAACAGTAGAACAGTAGAACAGTAGAACAGTAGAACAGTAGAAAAGTAGAACAGTAAAACAGTAGAACAGTAGAACAGTAGAACAGTAGAAAAGTAGAACAGTAGAACATATCCATTTAGATTTTTTTGTGATCTATTTGAGCTAAAAAAATGATTTCTTCCAGTAGAACAGTAGAACAGTAGAACAGTAGAACAATAGAACAGTAGAACAGTAGAACAGTAGAACAGTAGAACAGTAGAACAGTAGAACAATAGAACATAGAACAGTAGAACAGTAGAACAGTAGAACAGTAGAACAGTAGAACAGTAGAACAGTAGAACAGTAGAACAGTAGAACAGTAGAACAGTAGAACAGAAGAGCAGTAAAACAGAAGAACAGTAGAACAGTAGAACAGTAGAACAGTAGAACAATAGAACAGTAGAATAGTAGAACAGTAGAACAGTAGAACAGTAGAACACTAGAACAATAGAACAATAGAACAATAAAACAGTAGAATAGTAGACCAGTAGAACAGTAAAACAGTAGAACAGTAGAACAGTAGAAAAGTAGAACAGTAGAACAGTGGAACAGTAGAACAGTAGAACAGTGGAACAGTATAACATTAGAACAGTAAAACAGTAGAACAGTAGAACAGTAGAAGAACAGCAGAACAGTAGAACAGTAGAACAGTAGAACAGTAGAAAAGTAGAACAGTAGAACAGTAGAACAGTAGAACAGTAGAACAATAGAACAATAGAACAGTAGAATAGTAGACCAGTAGAACAGTAAAACAGTAAAACAGTAGAACAGTAGAACAGTAGAACAGTAGAACAATAGAACAGTAGAACAATAGAATAGTAGAACAGTAGAACAGTAGAACATTAGAACAGTAGAACAATAGAACAATAGAACAATAGAACAGTAGAATAGTAGACCAGTAGAACAGTAAAACAGTAAAACAGTAGAACAGTAGAACAATAGAACAGTAGAACAATAGAACAGTAGAATAGTAGAACAGTAGAACAGTAGAACAGTAGAACAGTAGAACAGTAGAAAAGTAGAACAGTAGAACAGTAGAACAGTAGAACAGTAGAACAATAGAACAGTAGAACAGTAGAACAGTAAAACAGTAGAACAGTAGAACAGTAGAACATATCCATTTAGATTTTTTTGTGATCTATTTGAGCTAAAAAAATGATTTAGTAGAACAGTAGAACAGTAGAACAGTAGAACAGTAGAACAATAGAACAGTAGAACAGTAGAACAGTAAAACAGTAGAACAGTAGAACAGTAGAACAGCAGAACAGTAGAACAGTAGAACAGTAGAACAGTAGAAAAGTAGAACAGTAGAACAGTAGAACAGTAGAACAGTAGAACAGTAGAACAGTAGAACAGTAGAAAATTTATAATTTTTTGTGATCTATTTGAGCTAAAAAAAATGATTTCTTCCAAATTATTGATTAAATAAAGGATTAAAGTGTATCGTTGTAAATCAGACATTTCCCCTTTAAATGAAAAGTCACTGAAAATCAGGTGAAAACAGATTTTTATGATTAAAATGTTGAAAAGAAGTATTTGTAAATATCGCGATGAATGTAAGATTTCAACATTTCTGAGATATTTTTAAATTCTAATTTTGCTTTTAAAAATACGCCGAAGCTTTGAATTTGCTTTCCTGTTTTTTTCAAAGTTTTATTGGCATTATCTTGCCAATTTTTGCACAAAACTATTTTGCAAGAATGTTCCCAGACTTATTATTTTTACAGAGAAATTCTTATTTTCTGAAAATATTTATCTCTTTAAACCAAAAAGAAAACCTTCAAATTGTAATAGGATTTCTGAAAAT